TACAGCCTTTATCTGAACCAATTCAAAATATTGAAAAAAAAAACGAAATAAACTCGTATTTATACTCTAATCATAATTGCTGTTCACTACTAGAGAAAAAAAAAAAATGAGATTGTCGATTTTCGCTTTTTTTTTTGATTTTAAAAGGAACTGAACAAAAAAAATAAATAAATAAAAATTACAAATTACTGTTTTTTCGGTTTACAAAAAAAAAAAAAAGAAAGAGTCTATACTATTGCATAGGCAAAAAAACAATTAAAATAAACTCAGACTTTCCAACTATCAATAGACAACAGTCGTTTAGTGATAGTAAAAAGAACAAAAAAAACAATAATTCATGATCGTCGATCAACTTTACGGTTTTCTACAGCTTTTACTTTATTTTATAGCTTTTCCTTTTCCTTTTTTTTTATTAAAGCATATTTCAACTTTGCTTAGCTTGAAACAAAACTAAAACCAATTACGAAACGCCAAAAAAAGAAAGAAAAAGGAAGAAAATCATTGTAGTTATATATATATTTTTTTGATATATGTGCAAAGAGTTATTGACAGGTCAAATGAGAGATGGTGGAAAAACAAAAGCTAACAAACTGTTGTTGCTGCTTTAAGACCACAGATCAAAACTGATTGAAAGTAGTAATTAAGACAGAGTCTAATTATTTGTTTAAAACAAAAAAAGAAAATTTTCTGAAAAAAAATTACGGTATTTGCACTCTCAACTAATACTGTTTTCAAAAGGAAAAAGTTATTTTCTTTTTATTTTGAATGTTTATCAAATTGAATAGATAAATCAACAAATAAAAAAAAAAATTTTTATAGTTCTTTTTAATCTTATTTCTCCCATTTTTTTTTCCCCTTTTTCCTATGCAAAAGCAATAATACTTTTGTTATAAAAATATCATTATTTTGGACAGTTAAATTATTTGTCAAATTAAGGAACAATAATTGAACGTCATCATCATCATTATTATAATCATCATCATCCACATCGTCATCCTCATCATCACCATCACCGTCATCATCAACTAATCATCATCATCGTCACTATTATTACTATTATCGTCATCATCTACAGTTCAAGAAACGAGACTGTCAAAAAAAAAACTTATATTTTTTTTTTCTGAGATACTCTAATTACTTTTACAAATGTTTCTTAGTTGGTCAAAGTTACTGTTCAAGTTTTGTTGTCAAACTGATCAGAAGAAAAGTTTTCGTTTTCTGAACAATCACCCAGTCATTTCTTCCTGTTACATTTTCTCCGGCTTTCACTTCCCACCCATCCATTTCTTAGTCTTCCTTAGTTTTTCTTTTTCTTCTTCTTGTTCTTTCCTTTTTTTTTTTTTTTTTTTTTTTTTTTTT